ACCCGAGCCTGCCGGTCGGAGAGCCCGATCGAGGCGGTGAGTGTGTCTCGACGAGTGTTCGATCTCTGCGGTCGTCGCGCCGCTGCGCCTCCTCTTCGCCGGCGGTAGCTGCTGCCTCCCACTCCGGCTCGCTGTCCTCCTCCTCGGCAGCGCTGTCGCCAAGACCGTCATCGGTTGGCGACCTGTGCGAAGGGCTACCACAGCCGCCGGCCAAGCCGTGAAGCGGACTCGAACTGGCCGTCGCCTCGAGCAGACTTCGCATCCTCTCCCCGTCGAAGAGGGCATCTTGGATGCTGGCTCGTCTGGCCTGAGACAAAGCGTCTTTCAAGGCGACCGTCGAGGCGCTCATCACCAGGGCCAAGTCGATCAGGGGCTCCGGTTCGACGACAGTGTTAGCCGATCTTTGCACTCGAGCTCCGTCTCTCTTGTCACCCGTCGCTTCCAGCTCGGAGGCCTCGAGGTGACTGTCAGCCGTCGCCTCAACGTCGGCCCACTTGGTGGGCGTCCTGCCGGCGACGGCGACGGCGACATTTGACGTGTGAACGGGTATCTTGGACCGTGCACGCAGTTCCTCGGACTGGCGAGCGTCGGGAATGGCAACACAAACCGTTTCAGACCCAACAAGTTGAGAGCAAAATGCAAATGGAGGCACTCATGCCGGTAGTGATGGTGGAAAGTGTGCCAGATACAAAATTAAAACCAGAAGGCAGTGAGGCGGATATGGGAAAGGGAGACGAAATTGTGCAAAACACGTAATGACAACTAACACAGTTGGCGTGCAGGACGACATTTACCGAACAATGTGTGCTTTTTCGGAGGGAGTGGGAAAACAAAAGGAAAGGGACACAATAATGAGGGGCAAGCAAGAGGAAGGGAAGAGGGTAGAGTAACAAATTGGGGCGGAAGAAGGTCATTGGGCCAAAAAGCAAAAGTGAGGATTCGAAATGGAGGTCAAGATGAAGGATAAGTAAATGTAGATAACTTTCTACAACGAAAACTAATCTAAAAATGAACACGACCAAAAGCAGCTGAAGGGACAGTGTATTTCAGTGAACCTCTCGTCACAACATTGTTGCGGAGACTTTCATTGCGTACGAAAGAGCATAATGAAGAGATTCGTTAATTGACTTTATCGGAAAATGACGGCCCATTCTCATTGTCCTGTAGCTGTTCGGCCTTAACACAACGTTCAGGTTGACGCAGTCTACCACGCCTCCTCCCTCGTTGCGTGTGCAAATGGGCCAAGCTTTCGTTTATCATTTAATGTTGAGCTTGGTAAAGAGGTGTGAAGGTCGATCCCATCAGAAGACGACGGTGGAGTCCTCTTGACCAGCTGTCGAATGGCTTTGCTGGAATATTCTTGCTGACGCTGATTCCGAGGCAATCTTCTTCGATTCCGGTGAAAACGTGCTCAGCTTTCGTCCGTCGTGTGACAGATATCATCAGAAATAAATGAATAAATAAAGCCCTTCATCATCATCTTAAGCGCCCTAAGGGCGACTAAACATCAAAATCCTACTTAAAATGAATATGAGTTTTCTAAATTCCTTTGCATAAATATGGTTGTTAAAATGATGCCCTGCTCTTAGGATGTCCGTCATACGAAAGTTTAGCACGTTCTCACCGGAATAGAAGAAGATTGTCACAAGGCCAGCATCACAAGATTGTTTTGATAAAACTAATCGACAGCTGACCAAAAGAAATCCACCGTCGTCTTCTAGTGGGATCGACCTTAGAATCCCTTCACTAAACACTCGAAATGGAAGCAATATCAACAATTATGAAACAGAGATTCCTCGAAATCCAACCTTTCTTCGAATATATTATGACATGCTGGGCATCAGCACATGATGAATTTATTCTTGTAAAAGTCCCACGTTAAAATTGAGTCAAGAAAACTATTTGACTCTATCCTACTTACTATATATACTTATAATGCAAAACGAGAAAATGTAAGTATAGCTAGATAGATATAGAATGACTTGGTTAATGAGAAGGGAAAAGATAGAACCCCACGGCATAATCGAATAAGGTGTCAAGGTTACTTTCAAGACTGCCTTTATCCCCTCATTTGTCACATACCAGATCATCCAATATCTATCTATCTATATCTATATTTTCTCGTTTTTAGTTGAGTATACATAGCATATTGGATAGTCGGCTAGTCTTCTTAACCTAACATTAACTCCTCTACTCGAAATGAAGGAGTATGTCTCGTGGTCTGCGTTCATATGAACGTTGTATTAAAACCAAACAGTTGCAAGATAAAGAGTCCATCATCGTATTTTGGTGAGATTAACCAATGAATCTCTTCATCATGCATCTTCATACAAGCGGAAAGTCTCCACAACACTTCCATCGGTAATCGGACATACACAGAAGGATGAGGATGACATTCATCTTTGATACCAATCTGGATACAATATGAGAATGATTCGAAACCACCAGTAATTCTCAAATAAAAACGTAATCTGATTTACGAATTTATAGTTTCCTTTTTTCCCGCAAAATGATATTTATGATTGGATTGTGTTGGGGCAAACACGAATTTGCCAATAAGAAATTACCTAAATTCTGTATGAATATACCCTAAAATTACCCCACTATAAATGTGATTTGGGGATTAACCTCTACCCTGTAACCTACTGGCACTCGTTGCAATGTGGATGAGTATTTAAACGTCTCCAGGCTTGCCCTTGACCAGTTTCATACCCTATCGGGAATTGTGATGAGAAGGTGAAACGAGGTTTAAATCGCAGTCCAAACGGGATGATGAAGAGAAGCAGTAATATCGTGAGGCTAACTCATACCATTAAAGGAAAAAACTCCACTAAAAATCCTTAAATCACCGTAAGCAGAAACTGGATATCAGAAAGACGAGCTATCACTCGCTGCAGTATCTAATGCCCTGAGATTTTCAAGATGACACTTGT